GGTGGTAAGCTTCCCTGTGGATGCATACCTACAATATAATTTCAATTTGAAATCTTAGTTAGTAATGAATTTCATTTCATAGCCGCTACGAGAAAACCATCTTTGTCTTAAATGAGAAAATTGACAGCTTGCATGAAAGTGACTTGATACCGATTGTGTCCATTAGAATGATTCCCTTCTCTTAACACACCAATTTTCGTACTGTGTGTCCAGAAGATAAGGAAAGGAGCATCACAGTGACCAAAAGATAGTTTTTTTTTTTTTGGGTGAGGGTACAGTGTACTCACTCTGGTGCCAGGTATCCAGTGGTCCCCAAAACCCTTGTGGAAACTTGACCGTTGATCTTCTCTGAACCCATCTTGGCCAATCCAAAGTCAGAAACTTTAGCACGGAAGTTATGATCCAGCACAACATTGTTGGACTTGAAGTCTCTGTGTATCACAGGCGTGGCCGCATGCTCATGCAGAAACTCCAAGGCCCTGGCACAATCAAGGGCCACCCTCATTCTCGTCCACCAATCCAACGGCTGAGCATGAGCCTGAGCAGAGTGAAGATGGTATTGAAGTGTCCTATTGGCCACATATTCAAATACAAGGAGCCTGTGATGCTGATCAGCGCAATACCCAATTAACTCCACCAAATAAGGAGAATGCAATCGGCTTAGAAGATCCACCTGCAATTAAAAACAGAGCCAAGCATAAAAAAAATGACATTTTATTTTCACATTCTCCTCTTCGCACCCATGTGCAGGACATTATTTTTGGCGGGTACTAAGTATAAAATCAAGAATTATTGCTTGAGAATCGTGAGGAAATCAATTATTTGTTTTCTTCCCACTTTAGAGTTACTTCAGAGACAACAGAATTACCACAAAAATGAGCATAGTAGTAGCGTATAAAAAGGTAGTCTTTTGTCCTGTAGGTCCTTTCACGCATTAGGAATTTTAAAATAGTAACTTGTTTTGAGTTTTGACTTTTCTTTTGGATCTCCATTTGCTCACGGAAACGGCAGCTTTCCAAACAGAAAAGACAAATGCAATCTCTGTAGAGTCTGAACAAACAGGATTACATACATGCCCGGCAAGGAAACACAGACAACAGTGAAAAAGCAGGGGAGCAGGTAAGAACAGAACAGAGAAACGTTACTACGAAAGTCAAGTCCTTAATCATAAACTTGATTTCCAAATATATAGTGAAAAACTCTTGAAGAGTAATAAATCGTGTTAGATTCAAATAGTTAGAGGTATTAAATGTTTGGGTTAATTAATCTGTAGGTCCTTATAGTTTTAACCAATTTTAAATCAGATACTTATATTTTTTTTTCTTTTTATTAGGTCTTTATACTTTTATCTGTTTTTAATTAGGTCCTCGCATTTATTTTTTTTATTAAGTTCTTATAATTTTATTAAATTTTTAATCAGGTCCATCTAGCTTTAATTTTTATTTGTTAATTAAATATAAACTTAATTAAATCGATTAATATTGAAATATAAAATATTAATAATTAAATTAATAAATATATAATAAAAATAGTAATATAATTAATTAATTCAGGAAAAAATTTTAAAACAATTAATTCTTTTGCCGAAAAAAATAAAAATTATTATTCCTAAAATATTATTGTTTATAAACTAATATTAAATAATATATACTATTTTATGTTTAGAGAATAGTACTATTGGAATTTATAAAATAAAGAATAAAAAATTCAAAAACTTAATTAAAAATAAAATGAACTTATAAGGATTTGATTAAAAGAAAAATAAATGCAAAGACCTAATTAAAAACAAGTGAAAGTATAAGGACCTAATAAAAAGAAAAAAAATTATAGAGGCCTCATTCAAAATTAATTGAAACAAGAAGGACCTACAGATTAATTATCCCTGAATGTTTTGAGACGGGGGTTTAGAACAGAGATAAACGAGATAATAAATGAAGGGGCTCACCTCGATTCTGAAGGCACGCTCGCCTTGCTTACCGTCCCTCTGCAGCAATTTAATGGCGGCCAGAGTGCCATCTCTTAAGACTCCCTTGTACACCAAACCAAACCCTCCATTTCCAATTATGTTTGCTTCACTGAATCGCTCCGTCGCCACCTCTAGCTCCCTGTACGTGAACACTTGCACTCCTCTGAATTTAGTTGCTACTGGTCTGCTCATGTTTCCTCCATAAATACACCCTCCCCTGACATCTGCATTTTTCTCCCGAAATTAATAACACTAACCTTTTATTCTTCAAAACATTCTTTTGTTGAGCTAGAGAAGAACGTTAATTACCTGGGCTACAAGTGAAGTTGGAAGCTGTTGAGGCGTTGAATCTGCTACTAGCGGTGTCATGGAACTCTTCATTGCCAAGTTTAGTAGTTGGATTCTTGGGAGAGGATTTGAGGCGACGGAGGAGGAATATGATGAGAGAAATGGCGAGAAGAAGCAAGAAGGAAGTGAGAGTTATGATGACTATGAGAATGGTTTTGGAGGGTAAATGGGGATGATGATGATGATGCTTATTATACTCTTCAGGATGTAAGTGGTTCTGTGTTGAGGCAAAACTTGGTGATTCTGCAGCCACAGCAAAACTGGTATTGACTTCCATGATTTCAGAGAACAAAGCTAGAAAGAAGAAAGAGATGGCTTTCGCGCAGAGAGAGACAGATGAATGAATTTGATAGTTGAGACAAAACGGAAGGTGCAAGTTAGTATTTTGCTAGTTTTGAACTGCCCTTCTTCCAAGGAGTGACCAACTAAAGGCTCACAACACCTCTCTCTCCCCCCTTCTCTCTCCCTCTCGCTCCGTGTTTTCTCGTGAATAATTTAATCGAAGTGGCATCGTGTACTTGGTTTGTCCCTAGCGTTGTCTTATGTATGCAATTCTCTTTCTTTTGTATCACAAAAGCCTTGAAGCTTTTGCCCTATCTGTCTTTTGAATCCGCAGAAATCCTAATAATCTTCAGATTTCAGAATAAAACCAAGGCATGCAATACAATTTGAAAAAATAGCAAATAATACCCCCAATATATGAAATTGTGCTTTGAAACTCTCAATTTGAAAAATGGCAAATAAAAACCTAGTTCCATATTGCAAATATGAAATCTTAGTGAAATATCTGAAATGTCTCTCAGCTAAGTTGTGATTTGGTCTACTAAAATTGTCATTCGCTAAAGTGAATTTGTCATTTCCCATAATCAGCTTGTCATTTGGCATATTCTTAGTCAAGGTGTGATGTGATCTACTAAAATTGTCATTCGTTCAAGTAAACTTGTCATTTCCCATAATCAACTTATCACTTAGCTGATGGGCATTTCAGACATCTCAGTGAGATTTCATATTTACAGCATGAATCCGGGTTTTTATTTGCCATTTTCCTATATAATTTTCTTATTCCAATTTGATAAAAAAAAAAAAAAGAATCAAATAAAGGATAGCAGTTATGGGTGAGAGAAGGCTTGCCAGCTAACCAAGTGGGCATTTTCTTTTTCGGCAACCAATAATTATGATACCCTCCGAAAGAGGCAACAGATTAAAACAACGCTTAAGCTCAGCATGTGCATTTCCATTCTTTCCCTCTAAATTATCATTTCATTAGTCATCCCCATCTCCATTCTATCATTTCCTAACCAACAATAATTGAAAAGAGCTACATATAATAAAATGTTTATATTTGAGAATCATATCGTCAATCAAGAAGAGGTTGATGAATCGCTAAATCAATGGCGACCTGCACATAACTTGAAATCCAAGGTAAAGAAAAGAGAAGGGCGAAAGAGTTGGTATTTAATACAGTTGGTGTTTGATGGGATTGAGGTTGCACCCAGGGTGGACTAAATTGCAAGGTGCAATAATGTTTAATAAAAATTAGAAGATTAGATATTAACCGGATGAGATTATAAAAGAGATTAAACATGTGATTTTCCGCATAGAAGAATTTTCATGTTATTAGGTTATTGACACAAATACCAATATTGATAGGGTCTCTCATGCCATCATGCCTTTCGCCTTTTGGTTCTCTTAATTAATTTGTAAATAGTAACAAAGTTAGTTAACTTAGATATTTATAATAAATAAATATTGATTTTTCTTAAATGCTCTTTTAAACATATACTTTTTGGAACTCTTTTTAGTAGAAACTCTTTTCATACATGTAATCAATAAAAATATTTTAAGAAAATTATAAATTTAGGAAATAAAGTAAATTGAGATCTTATATTTAAGAGCAAATTAAATGTCAAACTAACTCTTATATTCCTCCAGACTTAAATATAAGACCCATTTTACAGTGCTGCAAAATGAGTCTTATATTTAGGACCGGAGGAATATTAAAAATCAAAGGTATTATCACAATTTTGTCGCTCACGCACAACACACTAACCTCACTTTCAACCCTAATACGGCATGTTCTAAAGTTTTAAGTGGTAATATAATAGTCAACATTCACATGCATTCTTAGTTGTGCGTCCAAGTAGCAATGAGATCACAAAAAGGCAAATACTTTGACATTACTTTCTCGTTTGCACAAGCTAGGCACTTGGGCAGATGACAAATCCGTGAAAAGGAAAGAAAAACCGACTTGCCAATCATTTATTCAACAATGAAATGACCAATTGCTACTACACTTCCTTTCCTTTCTCAAGGGCATCCTTATCTTTGTCAACCGAAATAAACAACATCGTACCTAACCTCTACCACCTTTAAACAAGACATTCATTCAATCAGTCTCACTGACCAAAAGCATGTTTTTATCAACTGTAAATAGATCATTTTCACTTTTCAGCCTGCAAATCTGCAATGTTAGTGAGGAGAACAGGCACTGCTTTCAACAAAGCCAACAATTGGCCTTGGACATAGCTGGTGGTTCACAATTAATTTAAGTAAATAAAAAAAACTAATGAAATTAGTTATTTGTTAAAAAAAAAATGAATATCCTCTTAAATCATTTGTATTGAACCTGTCCATTGATATAAGCTCTCTTAATATCTACAATTAATAGGGATAATTAGGAAAAAAATTATAAGCATGAGAAACAAAATAAATTAAGATTTTATATTTACACTCAAAGAAAGACACCAAGTAGCTATTACATCAGGGGTGGAAAGCAGTATTCATTATGCAAAGGGCATGAAAATGGCGAGCTCAAAGTCACACCCGTCATGTGGCCATCAGAAAGCTATATTCAAGATGGAGCAGGACCACAACAACCGAACCCACTATGCAATATACTTCACATTCAACCTTCGCTTTCCGTTCAGATATCCCATGTCCCGTATCAGTCACACGCCATGTGCTTCACCCATCCATTCATTACAACACCACATTTGCATCCAAACTTCAAATGTTAACTTTTTAAGTGCTTGTTATCAGCACCAAATACATTCGCTACTTCAAACTATTTTCTCCTCATCAAGAGTCTTATTTATGCGATAACCATGAAACAATTGACTTCCACAATGATTCCTATACCAATACCACCAAGTGCTTAGATCAACTAGTAAGAAAATTATTCCAGCTCAACCAGAGGTCTAATGTTCAAACTTAGAAATGCAGCAACGTTAAATACTCGGTAGTAGAGCTTACCACCCGAAAGGGTCCCACTCAGCTCAATCTGGATTAGCCTAGGCCCCATGAGTAGACCCAAAATACTGGATGCACACGCAAAAAAAAAAAATGATTCCGATATCAATGAGTTCAGGGATCCCAAGGAGATATATGCAGAGGAGAGAACATTCATATTTTCAAACTTAAACACGTAGCTCGCATGTAGCTTTTGAGTTGAATATAATGTCTGGCGCAACATTGTCACGACACATATCTAGTATGTCCAGATCAATTATGATCTTTCTTGGTTTTCAACAAGTATGCTCACACTCAAGGCGTGAGACTGACACCGTTTGAGTTGAGCTTTGTCAATTGTAACCATCCCGCCCAAGTGCTTCTTGTGTTGGCTGGTAACTGAGATTTATAATTCTCATGTTTTTTCTAAAAAGAAAACTGTTAGATGAATCATATTTTTAACTCGTTAATCATCAGGAAAACCGAGGAACCTATTTATGAGCTTTGCCACAGGTGTGGCATCACCTGGAGAGTAAGGGACAAGAGAATTCAAATCCATATCAGCTACAGTTTGATGGAGAGTTTGAGGACGCGCACAGTACAGATGTTTTTGATCTGCCAATTCTTCTGCGAGTTCACTTTGATGATTGTCCATCAAATCTTCATTCACAACCACAATTAAAGGCTTGCCCAGACGTAACGTCTCGAATATGCTGCCTGAGCCTGCATGGAGTCAACAGTTTACATCCCTCGTAAAAAATTAGCAGTCAATGTAATACTGCCATATTAACACGCCTGTAAAAATATAAAATTTCTCCCAAAAAAAAGAAAAGAATGAAAACTTTTGTCGTTTTCCAAAATCCCAGGCAGGCATTCAGATTCAGTACTGTGAAATACCACATTCATTCATTCGGTGCATTTAGGAGTGGGAAAATATCCCCCTCACTTTTCAACATAACAACTAGTTCCCCTGTGCTTAGCCTCAGACGGGAAGGGATGAATTGATGGATCCTTTGTTTGCTCTTACACAAGCATAAAGGACATCAATCACGTTAAATTAGTTTAATTTCAAATTTGAATTAAATTCAATAAACCACGCAAGTCAATTTGGTGAAAATAAGTCCAATTCAGTGCCTAGTATATGATTTGTCCTTGTTCATTATGTCCATCTGTTATTTAATCCAATCACATTCACCAGCCTGTCGTGACCGCTGCAGCTTATTTGTTATTTTCATTTTCTTCTGTTCTTCTTAGTACTGGTGAATAACTCGGACAAACCAGTTAACAGTTATCCAATGATTTTCACATCCAACTTTAGTCTAAAGTAGAATGCAACAAATATAACCAATGACCATTGGTGTGACAGCTACTTCTCCCTTGTAGATGGAACAATCAAATTGAGGCCACTAAAACCAAATAGTAACATCATGGCTCATGCAAACTCGAAGAAACCATAATTACATAAAAAGGTGAGGAACCAAAAAAAAAACAACAACAACAACGAAAGAGATAAAAGAAAAAGTGACCTGCGTGACTGATGACAAGAGAGGCTGAATTGAGATGGTCGGCAATGCTGGAGGAAAAGGTGAAGTAGTCTACAGCCAACGAACTACCTCCTTCGGACTACAAAGAAGTAACTTCTAAGAAATTCAGTACTGAGAGAAGCATGTAATAAAGCTAATGTCAATACCAATACAATTTATCAAAATCCTAGTTCATAATTTCCGGGTGATAAAGCCATCATGCATTAACATCTTTCGGTTTTTCACAAATTTCCAACGGGCATTAAAAAACAAGTCAAAGATATCTAAGGAGCCTTATGTGGACGCACTTCCAAACTCTGTATTCAAAAGATTCCTAAATTTCTAAATTCTGAATTAACATTCACCTATAGAATGTTTTGTATTTGAACACAAATCATCACTAGTCACTAGTTTATATAAATGAGAAGCTAATAGTAGTTCAGCTTAACTTCATTGTGGAGACATCAGATGAGTAAGGAATAAAAGGCAAGGAGGCAAGGGGAAAGAAAGGGCACTGCAGTGAAGTGTTTTTAAGACTACCTTAGTGGGAACATAAGATCCGCGACCCATTTGAACCAGGAGGTGGGTGTACCCTCTTGTAAATAACTCTTGCTTGACTGTCGAAGAATCCACCGCTTTCACAAGAGTATCAAATGAAGTCGTCCCCACAGTTACAAAAACAACCCTTCTTGTCTTCTCATCGCCTGCACCATCTTCCATTTAGACTATTTGATCTCTTCTCCAAAATCAGGCGTTGCAAAAATATTTTCAATTGAAGCAAACGACTTTGAGGACAGTTGCTCCGCTTAATCACGAGGAGACTTCCCCTTTTCCTAAGATCGATCTATCCCTTTTGTTTTATAGCTCCCCTCGAAGCCCTAAGAACTGAGAAGCACCGAGGTATCCATATCCACCACTTTTCCTTGAAAGTACTATAATTCGTACCATTTTAAATTTTGCAAGATTCTTACAACAAATGATCAACCCTCGAAGCTCCCTGCAAAACGGAACGATTATGAGCTTAAATAGCAAAAACAGCACTCAAAAGCTGAGCAGCCAGTTGCACCAAATAAGCAAATTAACATAAAACGACGCAATAACAAGGACCAGAGGACCTTCAACTAACAACCGATCATAAAATAAGTAAGCAGTAACAATTCGATTTTAAAATTTAACTAGCATTCTGGTCCATTTCTGCTACGGCAAGATTTACATCAAATTTGGAATTTAAATAAGCATGCGAAGAATCCTGATACTCAATTTCATCCAGAGAAATTATACCAAAAATGCAGGTACATCTTGCTAGTAGAACTAGCATCGTCCTTTGGGGCTATGCACGGCGAGGCACTATAAACCCCCCCCCCCCCGGGGGGGGGGGGGGAGAGGAACTGCTATCTTTGTGCATAAAACCACTAAAAGCTAAAGAAGCAACGCCCATGAACAAATTTTTTTTGTTAAAAAAAAAAGGCATTAAAGATTAGTCATTCGTCTCTGAATTCTGGAGAATGACTCGGTAAGAAAAGCATCGACTTCAGCCTCACAAACAATTGTTACGATAAAAAAAAAAAAATCAAATGCATAAACGAAGAGCAACAAAGAAGTTTTACCAGAATCGACAACTCCTGATTGAAAAATCGAAGAGAAAGCCTCTTTTTTTATTTTTTTAAAAATCCAGGAAAACGAAAAGTGTTATTTGGGGTGTCTCGAAGCTGGAAACGGGATGCGTCACGCTTTGGATTGCAGATTGAGCAGCCGAGTTGAAAAAAGGATGCGATCCGGTGCCTAAAATGAAACGTGTTTGGCAGGACATGAAAAATAAGCGTCGGGAGTGGTTGGAGAGCGTCGTTTTAAAAATAATTTTATAGTAATAAATAAAATAGGGATAAGATATATTTAACACTTTAAAATATTTTTTTAAATGCATTTAACACTCTGAAATATTTTGGGATGCATTTAGTATTTTGAAATTTTTTTTGTTTTAGTGCTGAACTTACTTAAAAAAATTTTTGAATGTGTTGAATGCATCAAAAAATACTTTAAAATATTATTGTATTTAAAAAAATATTTCAAAGTACTGAATGCACAACAAAATATTTTAGAATGTTAAATACAATTAAAAAAAATACTTCGCATGTTCAATGCACCTTAAACTTATAAAGTAAATATATTTGAAAATTTTTTTATCTTACTTTACATAAAAATAGGTTTTTTAAAGTGAATTTGGGTATGGAAACGCACGATCGTTAACTACCCGTCTCAAAAGTATTTCTTCCGATTCAAAATATAAACTAAATTTTATTCATTTATGTTTATCAAGAAACTATTTAAAATCAGTTTGAAACAATAAATATGTAAATTATGTAATTTTTGTGTGAAATATGTCCTTATTAATGAAAAGAATAAGTAAAAGATATAATAAACGAATCAAAGAAGAAAGAGAATATATAGGGATAAAATTGAAAGAAACTAATTAAATGTCTAGACAAAAGTAAACCTCTCTAAAGTTTAGTTTATATTTTGAACCGGAAGGAATATTTTGAAGAAAGTAACATACATTTTTTATTTAATTTTTTTGCCAACTACTATTTTTATATAATATATATAATAGTGATGAATAATTAATTAGGTTTTATATAATAAAAAAAGAGCTACAATTCTGCTCGCGCATGATATCATATCTTTTTTTTTTTTTTTTTGCCAACCGCATATAATATCATATGTATAATTCAAAATAAAATTTATAATTTACATGATAAATTTATAAATGAGAGTTTATAGTTAATATTTGCCTCTTGAATTCCAGTCCACCTAATTTTTTGTTTATTAAAAAAAATCAACATCCGTTTTTATAAATGAAAGCAGACAGATACATAAACGAACAAAATAGGTAATAAGTTAAATTCTAAAAAAAAGTAAAAAAATTATATTTTAATTATATGCAAATAAATTAAGGAAAATTACTCAATAAAATGTGTGAAGAGACACGGAAAAAAATAAAAATTTGCATGAAATATATTTAAAAAAATTGGGAGATCTCACCTCTGTAGGTTGTAAGGAGGAAAACACAAGTTTGAATATCGGAAAATACATTTACCGGGAGAGTTTTAAAATTAACATTTCCAGCTAAACAGAAATTGATCTCAAATTTACTGTGACTCAATGATACTCTAAGTTATAAAAAAAATAATAATGCTGAAATTATAAGAAGCATTTTTTTTAAAATGTCAGAAACCAAAATTAAAAATTAATATAAAATATAAGGATTAAAGGGCCAAACTCTTCCATTTTTAATCTGGACTCTATAAATTGTGTTATTTCACATGATAAGACGTTTGGTTCCATGCATTGTCATTGTATTCTGCTTGATTTTTTTTTTTTAATGGAGGGAGTATTCTACTTGATCTGATTGGAGTTAATCATGATTTGTCCAGAATATGTTAATGTAACTTCTATTAAATTTCATAATCCCTCTTATCTAAAATAAGGCAACTTTGTAACCAAAAAAATAAGGTAACTTCTAAAAGAGATCTTTAGTTTATATTATGATTAGCTTTTAATATAAAACTAGTTGAATAATTTAAGTAAATTAAAAAAATTAGATAAGTTAGTTATTTGTCATAAATAATTGCTATCTTTCTTAAAGTATTTTTGCTAATAATATATATTAGCCATAACTACTATTTGATAAAATCTTTAATATGTGTAACTATTATAATGATTACCTTAGAAAAAATGAATAAATATAATAAATAAAGTGGATTGAGGTCTTATGATCAAATTAAATGTCAAACTATCTCTTATACTAAGAACCGGAGATGATAATATAAATCACCTAAAAGATTATTAATTATCAATTATCAATTTTATTTTTACTTACTAATGATTTATATTGACACTGAGAAAGATAATAAACATATTCAAATAAGAGTAAAATTGAAAAATTATTTTAATTTAAGACAGATTTAATAAGTTAATTCCTTTCTATGATTAGCCAAAGTGATTAAAAATAACTTATAGTTTTAATCCCAGTTATTGTAAAATATTAGGATGAAGATAAAGAGATATAGACTAAATTTTATATATATATTGAAAAATAGATATACAGATTCTTCGCAACATGGTGGGCCATTTGCCCAGAAAAGGAGAATTTAATTTACTCATTAAAAAAAAAAAAAGTAGGGAAACTTTTGAAATTCTATTAACGGATTGAGCAAGTGTAGGCCCCATCAAATCGTCTATTATCACTAATCACGCGTTATTATTAATCTCACTAATTTTGGCATTTGAACAAACAAAACTGGATCGAATTCGTTACGTATCTCAATTCAACTAGGTTATGGATTCTTCTCACATTCTTTCTTCTGCTTCCTACGTCTCTCTTTCCTCCCAATATCTCTTTCGATCATCAATGCTTTACTTATAAATCAAATCAATCCTCTCTGCATTCTCACTCTTGGTTCCTTTGATTTCTCCTTTTCTCTTGGATTTTAGCTTTTAACCGTTCAATCTGCATTCATCCCCGTCATGGGTTTCAAATCCCTCTTCTCTCGGAAGAAGAAACTCCTCGAATCCGCCGCCCAATCGCCCATCACGTCCCGATCGCCTTCGCTGTCGATGCATTCTCGTGCGCAGCTCACGGCGGAGTTGGAAGAGGTATTCAAGAGATTCGACGTGAATGGCGACGGCAAGATCTCCGCATCAGAGCTGGGATCCATATTGGGAAGCCTGGGCGAACCGGCCACGGAGGAAGAGCTGAATAACATGATCCGTGAGGTGGACGCCGATGGCGACGGATTTATTAGTCTTCAAGAGTTTGTCGAGCTTAATACGAAAGGGATCGATTCCGTGGAGGCCATGGAGAATCTGAAGGACGCGTTCTCAGTTTTCGACATTGACGGCAACGGGAAAATCACGGCGGAGGAGCTTCAAATGGTAATGAAGAGCCTCGGGGACGACTGTTCTGTGGCGGAATGCCGGCGGATGATTAACGGCGTCGATAGCGACGGCGACGGCCAGATTGATTTCGAGGAGTTTAAAGTGATGATGATGATGGGATCTCGCCATGACACTAGTGACCGAGTGAAGCCGGAATAAGGCATTGTTTCGCTCTAGCTTTATTTTTTATTTTTTATTTTTTCAATCTATGATTTGAGGATTGAAATTTCACATCCTGCAAATTTGATAGATTGCTAATTCTAAGCAGTTAGATTTGAAATATAAATAAAGACTATATTTTTTCACAATTATTCTTTTATAGCTAGTATGATTAATGTGCACATATCCGAAACAATTTTCTGATTCTGGAGCTTCAATTCTCTTAGATTTTTTTTTTCCCAATTCAATCCAATTTCGTTAACTTACATCTTATTTTTTGTTTTTGCCAACATTCTTTAACTTACATCTGAATTGTTATAGACTTATAGTTTTACGTTACTTTTAGATTTGATCATCCGTATAAATCTAAATAACAATAAATTAAAAATATATTCTGCTGATAGATTGAGCTACTTTTTCTCCCTACAAATATGTATATGTTATTCAAGGAAGTTATTTGTTTAAGAATTCAGGAATATGTACATATAACTCTTTTTTCTTGTTCTTACGATTTAAAGTTTGAAAGGTTGAAATTTCTATTAGAAGTTATTACCTCTCTAATAAATAAAGATTAAAAAAAATAGAGAGAGAAAAGTTATGTCTTGCACTTTTTGAAACATTCATTCAAAACACAAGTTATCTTACTGGCATAGCATCATGAGGGATATGTCATATTGTCATACATGTTCTGTCACGAGTAGGGATCGAGCCACAGATGAGGCAGGCCCGAGATTATAAATCCAAGTACACGTATTAATTTGAAGAAAAATATATGAGTAAAGCATGAAACATAATACTCCGGTCACATAAGACCTATTTAACTAATTTGATTAAATTAAGAAAGTTAGGTAAGTTAGTTAATTATAAGAAATGTGACATGTTTTTTCTAAAACATCATAATCATTTTTCTTAATATCTTCTCTTCTTCTTTTACTTAATTATAATTGAGAAAGTATTCATAAGAATAATTTAGAAAACATTGATAAATATAAGAAATAGATATTATATTTAGGATCAAAATCAACTCAACAATTAGGTCTAATATTAAAAATCTGGAGGAGTATATATACATATATATATATATATATGGGTGTGTGTGTAATTGCATACAATACAAATGTTCTGATATATCCAATATCCATATTCAATTTTAAAATATACAGTTGAAATAAATGTTTACCCTTATTGTTTAAGTCGTGCACGCCTATATTTTCCAACGTAAAAATCATCAATTCTCGTATTTCCCTTTTTTCGGATACAATCTATTCTCGTATTTCAATTAAACTTAATATAAACCATCATTAAAACAGTGAGAAGATCATAATCTATCTTGTTATCTAATAATCAAATTTTTTTAATTAAAAAAAAAACTCGCAGGCACATGTCCGTGGCATCAAAAGAACTTTTTTTTTTTGAAGGGTACAAATCTGAATCCTAATGATGCATTGAAGTTATTTAGTGGAGGGGATATTTGCAATCTTGTTAAAACAATTTTCTTATTTAAATTTTTTTTGACCAAAAGAAGATTCAATTCGAATATGCCCAAGTATCCAAATTGTTGCTATCTTTTATCTTTAATATAATAGTTAGTTGACTAATTTAAATAAATTAAAAAAATATTTATATTAGTTATTTG